GAGGACCGGGCGTCCCTTGCCAGCTGTCGCGTCCCGCCGCCTCGGGGGCAGGCCCGTCTGAAGGAGAGCAGGCCGGTGAGCAGGACAGGCAGGCTACTGCGGTGAGCAGGACAGAAAGGCTATTGCGCCTGGCTAGGGCCCCACAAATAAAAGTTTATCAAGTACTTCAGTCATCCACTGCAGTGCGGCGCTATCCCAGCTTCGCTCAGGATACTGCAGCTTCCTGGCGTCCTACTCCGCTAGGATTGAACGCTCCCCTAGCTCCGCCTGCCCGCGGAGTGCGGGTATCTCCTTCAGTCGGTCCAGCACCTCTTCGCCTGCCCCGCCTTCCCCACGTCCCTGAGCGTCTCCTCATTGTGGGACAGCCCCATGGAGGCAGCGGCATTCCTGGCCACCCTCCCTGCCTTCGCCCATCTCCCCCCTCTTCCGGTGCCTTCCCCCCCGACCACCACCTGAGCCTCCCCTCGGCGAGCGTGAATCTGGTCGCAACTAACAACATTAGTGGGCAAGCGTCAGATAATCAGTTCAGGTTCTCAACCTGCTACCTGGAACTCACTTCAGCGGTTGCTTATTATCCAGCTTCCTGATTTCCTCCTCAAGACCCTATTGAAGCATTGGTCTGACATAACAAGATCCTTTACTGGACGTACTACGCCTGCAAAAAGTCTTTGCTAATAATCTCCATTGGGATAAGCTTAGAAATTGTCAAGTTCCTGGCATGCCCAGGAGCTTTGACAAGACCCTTCATATAGAGACGTAACCTGTACGTCATTAAGTGTTGAGGTATGTTATTCGATGTAAGTTATAGGCGTAGTGATGGTCTTGGAATACATGGACACTTTACCATTCAAGTTGTTAGTAGATCAATTGACCTTCACCAGTGCCGATGTGTGTGAGAAATAATGATTATTTATACTTTGAGGCCGTTTTTGCATTGAAATGTTAACTTCAGATCATTTTTCTGTTCACAATTTATTAATAGCCCGCTACCGGTGCAACTGTCAATAGACGGGCGTATGCAGCCAGTATGTGCAAGTTGTAGGTTCGTAGAAGCACAGGTCCAGTCAAAATTGAATAATTGACTCAATTCTTTTACATTAATACTTTGTTTTGCGTTATTTTCTAAGCTTACTTCATTTGTTTCCCAGCTTACGTTTAGAAAATCACCGTGTTTCTTAAGGCTTCGTTCCCCTCAGGGGGGACTTATGACGTGTGTCTGTGCTCGTCAGAAGTCCTATGGGATTTCGCGCTCCTAGGGGTATTGTTCCTGAACGCCCCACCGCTGAGCTCGCGGTGTCTGACTGCAGGTTTCAGTTGTGGGGTTAAGTTATTATGTAGGCAGGATTCCTAACATTTCCCTTCTCTGTCTCTCTCGTGCGGGCGGCCGACGTCCCGTGTAAGCGACCTCTTGTTCGAGTGTCTTCGTTTCTGTTGATTTTCACCTGTCCCTCTGTCTCTTATACACATCTAGATGTGTATAAGANAGGCAGCAACCTCTGAAGTATTGCTGTCTCTTATACACATCTAGATGTGTATAAGAGACAGGCTTATATCGCAGGTTCACAAGGAATTTAAAAGCAAAGAAAACACCAAGCAAATTCACCATATCGATATTGAATTTGCCAGGGAAAACACCAGGGAATTTGCCTGGTGTTTTCTTTGTTTTTAAATTACCTGTCAGTAGTTGTTGTGGTCCAGACTTAGGCTGGCTTGTCATCCCGTACGGCCACAAATCGATGGTCTGGTAATGTTCTGATTGAGAATTTAAAATATTTTCCAAAAACAATCCATTGATTTTGGTGGCTTAATTTTTCCCGAATTGGGCACGTATATAGTGTGTATTTATAAGGAGACTTACGCTGCTATCACACGGACAATAAGGGAGAGTTGAGCAGAAAGGCGTCAGAGGGTTGGGGACTGGTGCTTGCCAGTAGGTAGTTCCTGCTGATCAAATGGAACAACTGTTCAAGGCAATGACTACGTTCTTGAATTACTTTGAATGATACCACTGCACGTATTAACACAGTTTGTAATATCTGCACGTGATTTACACCGCCTGCATGGTTCACCATAGCGGCATGGGAGGTCTGGCGAGTGTTTTTTTCTGGCGGCTTGGGAGGTCTGGCGGGTGTTTTTTTCTGGCGGCTCGGGAGGTCTGGCGAGTGTTTTTTTCTGGCGGCTTGGGAGGTCTGGCGGGTGTTTTTTTCTGGCGGCTTGGGAGGTCTGACGGGTGTTTTCTCTGGCGGCTTGGGAGGTCT